ATTATTTCATTTCATTTTATTTAGACGATATGCTTAGATCAACATAGAGCACGTGATGTTAATCTCATGTTAAAATGTCGAACAAGAGAAAAACAAAGCAGAGAATCGAACACTAATGTAAAAATGTATGTAATGTAAATGTTCGCTGTTCGAACGAAGCTATTTAAGAATTTGTAAGAGAAGATTAACAGCATTGCCCTCATGTTCGATAGCCCATCGACGTACATACATAATCACCGAAAACATAATTCGTAATACAGTTCTGTAAACCAAAGCACTTAACAGTCGTGGCGTTGAGTGGTTCGGTTCGAATGCATATGTACATACACATGTACTGATATTAAGGCGCAAGTATCCACAGATGTTAATAAGAACATTGCCATAGAAGGGAAATTTAATTTTTTTTTTTATAAATTGGTTTTTTTTTCACAACTCTTCTCCAGATTTTGGGTAATATTAACATATTTAGCATAAGTCTAGGCGCGTAAGCTTATAATAAATTTTCAGAATATGTTCTATAAGTTTGCCTATAGAAATCGCAGTGTTTATAAAAATTGGTTTAAGTTTGAAATAAAATTGTGTGAATAACATATATAAAATCATAATGTGGTGTATTATATAAGAAGGTGGTGACTGTGTGATGGGGTAAGTGATATTCATTTAGGGACCTCCATTCAAAATTGGTGCATATCTGGAGGTCATGGAAGGGAGGGTTTAGAAGCACGAGTGCCAGTTCATCACGGCAACTCATAGATGAGAGAAGGAGGAATTCTAGTCCATCTTGTTTTTTTCTAACCAACATTTGTTTTTTTTTTGTGAAGACAGTGCACAAATTTTTTTGTAACAAATAAAAAGGGACTCTGCAATAAAGTGTGATGTAGGTAGGAGCTGTAGAGGAAAGGTCGCGAATCCCCCAACCACTGTTTGCTAGCCAATAGACGGGTCCCGACAGACCTACTTCTCGCAGTATCCGATGGTCCTCAACTGATCAATAGTTTGAGTGACATCTACTCGATATTACCCCGGTAAAATAATAAGAAATCATTACACTCTGAGGCCGCACTACTCAGTCCATGTCATTGATGTGGATATCAGTAGAAGGGTCTTCAAACAAGACATCTAACGCTATCTTTTGTGTTTATAAAATATAAATACGCCATAACGTTATCGCCTGAAAACTAAAAATCGGGCTGCTGAAAATAGATTTTTCAGGCACTTTCTCAAAACCTGGTCAGTCGATTTTATTCTAGGTTTCCACAAGTCTAGCGCAAAACCTTAGCTTTCATCTAGTATATAGCTTATATCTGGGAAAACTATTGTTGTGGAGATATTGCTATTCAAATTGAAAAAATGTCGCTCCAAAAAGGGTCAAATGGTTAAAAATTAACATATCCGTCTAATTTGGTTACTTTAAGATATCAAAATAACATATCCAGTTCCCCGAAAAAAATCGCCCATTCCCCGATTGCCACTTAAACCGAAATTCCCTGCAAATCGGGAATTTCCCGCGAGTTGACAAGTTGAAGGATGCAGCTGTGCTAATCACTTCGTACATGTCTTGGAAACCACAATTTGTGTGTATTTTAGAGTTTTTTTCAGTCACATGCCGAAATTGTAACATTCTTCCCCATTTTAATTGCAGGTATGTACACAGTATTTAACTATGCTACATGGGTTTATCACCCGCACTTAACCTACCTGGTATTTACCTATAGTTGTACATAA